TAAAAGATCACAATGACAAGAATTTGATCATAATCAGTTACTCACAGCTGCAACTGATTATACTGTTAGCCCCTCATTTATAACGTTCCTAAAGAGCTAAGAGCATAAGAAGACTTCTGTGATAATGATGTAACAATACAAACACATTTAGATAATGCTGACATTTTGAATAGTTTCTTTACATGGATAATTTCATTTGATTTATTAAAAATTATGCCTTTGGAAATATTGCCTTCATCTTATCTCTGGTTAACTGTTTCTAGTCCTCGGTTTTTTCCATGATCCTCAAATTGTCGTCTCCTTTCTGAATCACACTGCTGCCCAGCCAGTGAACCTTTGTGAAGTCCGTCCTTTTACCTCAGGATTCAGACTTGCTCCTAAATGTGTCCTCTCATAATCAGAAGTTCTTCTGAACGTCTCACTTCTTTTATCAATATTCCTTTTGAATTCACTGCTCAGCTTCCCTTTACCATCTAAAGGAAGTCTTTTATTGTGTGATAATGTGTATCAACTAAATGTAAATTACCATATACCCTAATTCTCTTAGAAATATTAGCAACTTTTGGGATGCAGTTCAGTATGAACTAATCTCATTATAGTTACACATGCACACACACGTTCCTAGATTACTTTTTACCTCAGAAGAGATGTGTTCTTCTTTCTTCATGGCATCCTATACATTTTTTGTTTGTTTCAACAAGTTGGTTTGCAATCCTCATGGTCTGCAGTTCGAAACCACCAACAGCTCTGCAGAAGAAGGACTGGGTTTTCTACTCCATGTACAGTTTCAGTCTCCAAAACCCACTGGGAAATCCAATGAGTCAGTATTGACTAGATGCCAGTGACAGAGTTAGTTTTTTTCTTTTCTTTTTTTCAGTATGATTAGTATTAATATGCATTTCTTTTTCTGCTAAAATTACAGAATGTCTGTCCAATTATATATAGATATGTAACAAAGCACTACAAAGTTTAAAAATATAATCCTTTTATTATTTGTAATCAAGGGATTAGCTGTTTGGACTGGGCTCAGTATGGAGATTCTTTTGTTTGGTCACTCTTAAAGATAACTTATGTGACTTTACTCATCATTTGAGGCTGAAGGAATTATTATGGACTCATTCATGTGTCTGGGTTTGGTCCTAGCTGTCCAGTGTCCATGTGCTTCAGCATGCCAGCACACACTTCCTTATGGATTATAGAAGAGTCCCAGCCAGTAGCATAAGAAGAATGGCTTCACAATGAAAGTGTATCTGTTAACCTCAATTTTCATTCTATTTACAAATATCTCATTGGTTTAAGAAAATAACATCACCAAGTACCAATATAAAATAGAATATGTTAGGACACAATTGTAAAGACAGTAGTTGATGCTATTAACATATTCATTTTCGATAATTCATTCACATTTTCAGATGGCTTTTGTAGGTGACATCCATAAAGGAGAAAATCGGCAGATTATTTTTCCCCTAAATATGGCAGGTAGCAGTCCTTCATTTGGAGAATTTAACAAAATCTAAAATATTAAATTGAGGGGTACCTGTCAAAGGGAACTGTGAAACACTGAACAGTAACTTAGATTACATTTTATCTGGTTTACACACATTTATCACAGACATAGCATTGGGCAATTAAACCAAAATGTCCATTTGGAACTGCATAAAAAAAAATCCATAGATGTTGTATCAGCTGGCATGATATCAAGTTATGATTATTCATTTCATGGTAGAGAAAGCATTCCTGGTGTGATCCAAACTCTCTTTTCTTTCACTTACGAAGAGGTTTTAAAGTACTACCAAGAGCTAGCGTAAGCATAGCCCTCTGTATCAGTTATCTGGTGCTGCTGGGGCACAAAAAGTACAGGGAGGTCGCTTTAACAATCGGAAGTTTATTTTCACACAGTTTAGTAAGTCAACTTAGGATGCTGGCTGTCAGAGAAGGTTTTACACTAGTTTAGAGGGAACTCTGTCTCAGTTTCACTAGCATCCTTCTCAGAATTACGTGTAGAACTCCATGCAATCTCTATCTGCTCTTATTCTATGCTTCATACTGCTGTGTGAATCTGCTCTTTTCATGTTTCAAAGGTGATGGAATTTGACTGGTGTAGCCTCATTAACGTAGCAAAGTAACCCTATCCCCATGGAGCGGATTTCAACAGCGACACTATAAGATAGAGTACAAACACAACTCCACCAGAGAGTTTTCAAAACTGTGAAGTTTTGCTGAAGTAGACTACATCCTTTACACATGGAATAGTTGATGGGTTTGAACTGCCGACCTTTGAGACAGCAACAAGCCCTTGGCCATTGTGCTTCCAAAAGTCTATCTCACAAATATGGGAGTTAGTGCTTATAACACCTATATCTAAGGACAAAAGTTAATCTCTTACACGTGTCTAGGTGATTTTTACCTAAACATTTTCATTTTACACTGAGTCAGAATCCCTTATGGCAATGAGTTTGAGTTTTTTAGCTCACTATTAAAATCATTTTTAAACACTCATGCTAGTACTTATACATTTATAGATAAATTGTATCCAAATCAATAACATACTAATATATTTTAAACATTATAAAACCCACTCAGAAACATAGACTGAAATAAAATATTAATAGTACTTACAATATTTTCTTTATATACTGCACAGGATTGACATGACCAGACACCACATTTGAGGAACACTGTCCTAAATCTCTACTTTTTCTCATTTATAATGTCAGTCAGTGATCCCAATATAAAGTTTTATTTGCATATATTATTATATGAGAAAGTATTTTTCTATAGAATCATTATTCTTTTTGTTTGTTTGTTTGTTTATGTTGCTAAAAAAGAATTTATTACAGCAAGATCTAAATAACCCAGAATTGTTTTTTGTTTTGTTTTAAATCTGGGGCTCTTACAACTATTATCATAATCCATACATATAACCATTTTGTCAAAGACATCTTTACATATGTTGTCATCATCTTTTTCAAAACATTTTCTTTCTACTTGAGACCCTGGTATCAACTACTCATTTTCTCCCTCCCTTGCCATGCCCCCTTGATAATTTATAACTTATTCTTTTTTGTTTTCATGTTTTACATGGACTTCTGTCTCATTTCATCCACTTTTCTGCTGGTCTTAAAGGTTTGAAGATAAACAAGCAGCCATCTAGCTGATAATCAACAAAGCCCAAATGGAAGAAATACACCAGACTGTGTGATCATGAGGTGTCAATGGGATCAGGTATCTGGCATCAAAGACCCAAAACAAAACATACAAAAAGCATATCAATAGGAATGAGGGGGAGAGCAGAGTGGAGTCCCAAAGCCCATCAGTAGTCAACTGGACACCCCCTGTCTGGATGGCCACAAAGAAGAAAAGAGCCGATCAGTGTTCAATATAGCACCGATGAAACACACAACTTCCTCTAGTTCTTTAATGCTTCTCCTCCGTCACTACCATGATCCCAATTCTATCTTACCAATCTGACTAGACCAAAACATGTATACTGGTACAGCTAAGAACTCAAAACACAGGGAATCCAGAACAGATGAATCCCTCAGAATGAATAAGGGGAGCAATGATCCCAGGAGGGTAAGGGTAGGGGTGGAGTAAGGATGAATCAATCACAAAAATCGATGTATGGCCACCATCCCCTGGGGATGGACAAACAGCAGAATCATTATTCTTTTGTGAAACGTTTATATAGCAGGGAAAACCTATTTCTTTCAGGTGGCCGAGCTATATGTGAATCTTGGTACTCATGTTGTGATCTTACAGATGAACTCTAATCTATATTTTTCTCATTATCAAACAATTGTGGCAAAAGTCTCATAAGTACATTTATCACTATTGTAGTGTTTCCTTTAATATGTTTATAAGTCAAATTACCCATTTAAGTATGTGTCAGAATGTCTATTTTAAAATCATAAGGATGTTGAGTTCTTGCAATTTATTTCTTGATGACAAAAAAGTATATTTTCAGATACACATAAAACATAAATGATGTTGAATATAGCTTTATAACTTTGATTAATCCATAGGATTCCAAAGACTAATAAAGAAACACCTTCCATATTAAATTAACTGTATTTCACACATGTAGCAAGGTGTTATTTGAATATGTGTTTTTTAATGATATTTAAAAATATGGCATTTGCTACATTTCAAATATTTACCCCTCAGAGACTTTGATGCAGTGAGATAATTTCAACATTTTTTCTGATTTTCAAAAGTAAAAAAAAAGTAAAAGGACTAGTCCAGTCTTTAAAGTAGCTTTATTTTTAACGTGAGTAGTCTCTTCAATTTAATTCTATACTAAAGGATGAGCAGATGCATATTTTAAAACAAAATATGCTGCATACCATAGTCTAGATCAGCGGTTCTCAACCTGTGGGTCGCGACCTCTTGGGGATCGAACGACCCTTTCACAGGGGTGACCCAAGTCATAACAGTGGCAAAATTACAGTTATGAAGTAGCAATGAAAATAATGGTATGGTTGGTGGGCCACCCCAACATGAGGAACTATATTAAAGGGTCGTGACATTAGGAAGGTTGAGAACCACTGGTCTAGATTCTGGAAATTTTGTTTTAAATGAAAACATACAGGGCTGAACAATTGTATAGTATTTCTTAAATTACCTTGGTAGAAATGATTGAATGCTGAGTAGATTATTTGAATAAGTGTCTATCCTGTGAAAGGTTTTTGTTTTTGTTTTGTGACAGTGTGGGATCATACGGTTGGGAATTTAGCCTGTCAAACAGGTTGCAGCTTGATGACCTCCTTTAGAGGTGCAGCTGAGGTAAATACCTCTCTGGAGGCTCCCCCCCCCCCCCCCAACACACACACCTCTCTACCTCCACCTTCCTGTTGATGAGCCATGCTAAGACCTGCACAAACCCTGTGATGCGGCCACTGCCATCGGAGCCACACAACTCTGCATCCTTTTCACAATTTTTTAAATGTTTAAGCCATTATTTGAGACACTATATCAATCAGTCCCCCCCTCCTCCTCCACAGAGGAGAGCCCATACGCAGAGTCCCACTACCACCAATTAGGCAGTGGAGTTTCCCACATTTGGGGAAATCGCAGAGGTCAACACACTCAGAGTGCAAAGGATAAGTCTCTCCCTGGGAAAACCACCTTCATGATCATGGTATCTCCCCTGCCAGGTAAGTATGTCGATCAGTCTTATGAAAGGTCTTCATTTTTTCACTGATGCTCTACCAAGTATGATGTCCTTTTCCTCTCTACACTTCTAAGGGATATCTGGCTGTAGTTCCTCCACTGCACTTTTTTTTTTCTTGTGGAAGTATACAGTGTATATTTCCAATATTCCTTGTTAAGGTAGTTAGTTTATTGTGCCAACCTGGCCGATAAACACATGTGGGGTTAATTGAAGGGCGGAGGAAAAAATGGCTCAGTGAGCCTCGCCTTTCTAGTTCTCAGGTCTCTGGCTTTGTGATGGTCACACCAGGGTGCAGCTGCCTTAGCTAGTTCCCTGCTTCAACTGACAAGGCTCACTTCCTGCAAAAGATCCCAGAGGAGAAGCCCCATGGACCTGCCCCGATGCAGCTCTGGGTGCTGGAGCAGCGATGTGGAGACCCCTGCCAGCGCTGAGATGCTTACACGTTTACTGATTTGGCTTCCTCCTGCAGTCGGCATCATAGTATGTGTTTTGTGAGACGGAGGAGGACTTTGTGGATTGGCGTTGGATATATGGTTTAATGTTGGACTTGTTGGCTTGGGCAGTGCTGGGTTGGGATGTTTTCTTGGTGTGCACTTAACCTTTATACAAAACTCTCTCTTATACATGAGTTTCTGTTTTTGTTTCTCTAAAGTACCCAGACTAACACACTTGTCAACACAATAATTCAAATCCATCATATCTTTTGTGGTCTTCCTTATTCGTTGTCCTGCTTCATATGCAAAGGTAATTGGATATACACTATGGCTCAGTTCAGGTTCACCTTAGTTCTAAAAGTCATATCTTTGCTCTTTAACACATTAAATAATTGCACAATTTATTTTCCCAATTTAGTTTGCCTTCTTGAATGCTATATCAAAGAGCATTAATTGTGAATCAAGCAAAATGAAACCTTGGAGACTTCATTTATCATGATACTGTATATTGGTCCAATTGCCAAGATTTTAGTTTCCTTTACATTGAGTTGCAATACATACTGAAAGCTGTTGTCTTAAATCCTCATGACTCCTTGTCTCAAGGGCTCCTTGCATTCAGTAAGCAAGGTTATGTAACTATATACGTGTATGAAAAATCCAAACCAAACTCAGTGTTAATGAGTCAATGACAATTCTTGGTGACACTATAGGACTGATAGAACTGCCCCTGTGGTTTTCCAAAACTAACTCTTTCTCCTGATGAGGAGCTGGTGGTTTTGAACTGCTGACCTTGTCGTTAGTTGCCAATACTTAACCCACTGCTCCATTATATTATTCCAGGTTGCCTATAAAAAAATCCAGAGACACTCATATATGTATAAGTAAGAGCTTTATATCAAAGAATAATTTTATATTAAGAAAACATCCCAGCCCAGTCCAGACCAAGTCCATAGACTTATATTAGCCTATAAGTCTTATAATTGTCCATAAATACATTTTTCAGACTCATGTACCACATCCAATGATGCAAAATGCAGGAAAATCACAGGTCAGTGGATGCAAAGTCTTGTGGATCTAGTGGTGGTGGAAGCATCTTCAAGACTCTCACTGGTCTCAGTGTGGCTCAATGTGTCTAGTTAACAGGAAGGTGAAGACAGAGAGAGGGGCTCTGACAGGTCTCAGCAAGAGAGGGAGGCCAACCTCCAGAGATCCATTTATATCGGTTGCCCTCCAATCGAGCTGCAACTTGATTGAAAGGCTAAACTCCACCCCCTCAGTCTTAACAGCCTCCAGTTGACATCAGATTATGTAACTAATATATATATATATATCAGGTTGTTCATGAGCATCCCTACAATCCTGATGTCTGTGTTTGTTTATTTTCATGTATCCAAGCATCTCATATTATTTGTACAGCATGCATATTGAAAAATACAGTGAAAGGATATATAAAAAATAAAATGTATGAAGACAAATCGGGTCTGTGGTAAATTATTATAATGGTCTGAAATCATTATCAAACTATCTTCCTATAGTTTTAATTTTTGTGATGCTTGCTAGTTTTTGGAACTCACAACGCCTGTGATTTACTTTCTGATAATACATAAAGGCACACTATAACTAATACTGTCTTCATTTTCTTAAAGAAAAATCTATATTTTGTAACTCTTGGGAACATAAATGCTGTGTCCTCCCTATGATAAATAGTACTTTGCACTTTTCCCAATTCAGAACAATGTCTTTCTTCCTTAGAAATGTGTGGGGACAATCATGTTAAATGTCTAGTAATGAAAAGACAGTTCTATGCAGTGAAAAAGGTCATATTCATTAAGAAACAGTTAGTGATATACACAATGAACTTTTTCTAATAAAAATTACACAATAAACATATAGTGTACTATCTATGAGAAAATTTTAAAAATTAATATGTGAAATTCATATTATTATGGCGATATTTGTGTTTCATATACTTGAAAACCTCTGTTCACTAAGTATTTCATGACTACGTTGTTGTTGTTGGTTGTCATGGAGTCAGTTCTGACCCATCATGACCCCACTTCCAGCAGAAGGAAACACTGCCCAGTCCTGTGCTAGCCTCACAATTGTTACTAAGTTTGAGCCGATCGATGTCATCACTGTGTCAATCCATCTTGTCAAAGATTTTCCTCTTTTTTGCTACCTTGCTATTTTATCAAGCATGATGTTATTCTTCAGGGAAGCGTCCCTCCTGGCAACATGTGCAAAGTACAAGAGAAAAAGTCTCGTTGACTTTTGCCTCAGAAGAGTATTCTGCCTGTACTTCATCCAGGAGAGATTTGTTGGTTCTTTTGAGAGTCCATGCGACTTTCAAGATTCTCTGCAACAGCTCGATTCAAATGTATTTATCCTTCTTCGATCTTTCTTATTAAATGTCCTATTTTCACTTGCAAAGGGTGCAATTAAAAAGAGCATGATTTGTGTCAGGTTCCCCTTAGTCTCCAAAGTAGCAGCCTTTCTCTTCAACATGTTAAAGAGGTCCCGTGCAGGAGAATTACCGATGGAATGCAGCATATGATCTCTTGATTACTGTCCCTATGAGCATTGATTGTACATCCAAGCAAGACAAAATCCTTGACAATTTCAGTCTTTGTTTACCCAGATGTTACCACAACGTTACTTCCCTTCTAAATAAAGTTTAATATATTCCGCTGTTTCATAATTGTTTTTAATGATCAATTATTATGTTTTCTGGTTATAAAGTTAATTGACTATGAATATATGCTCATTAAAGATAAGAACAAGCTAAGGGTAATATATCAATGATCATACATATATTTTCGGGGAAATGTATTGATAATTACATCTGTTTGATATGCTCCTTTTTCATGGAGACATAACTCTCTTTTTTTTAATCCATTCTCTAACTAATTCCATGAACACATAAATTAAAATACATCACTTGGAAGCTCATAGAAAAATGAAGTTAAGTCATAGGAATATGTTGTTGAATGGTATGGTTTTAAAGTGCCTCCCAATTTGAAAGAAAAATAATTATTTCTGTAAAAGAGATACAGTAGTTACTCTTATTTTAAAGGCATGGAAATTGGAGAAGGTAAGTTTGAATAATGTGTTCATAGGTGTCCATTTGGGGATAGGATTCATTTTGAAGGAGCTATGTTTTAGAGCTTAGAGCTTTAGAGCTACCATCCAGGAGGGCTTGACCCCTCTCAGATCTTCTTGCAATGCCCATGTTCTTTCTCTATCACTATTATTGTTACTTTCTATGATTATTCCATGTACTATACAAAACCATAAAAACAAAAAGTCCATAGTTAATTCATTATAGCCATTATCTAATTTTCTATTGTGGCAGCCAAATAAATGTTGCTCTCAGATTTTCCAACTGTAAGGACCAAACTGACCCAAATTTCCAGCTTTTCCTCAAAGTTGGATAGTTTAACTATTATGTGCCTTGATGACTTCTTCCTGGGGTTCAGTCTAGTTGGTGTTCTTTCAGACTCCTGAATGGTTGCCTTTGGTTTTCATTCATTATGCTGGGGAAGTTTTCCTCCAAGAATTCTCTCACTATTGTTGCAGATGACTTCTTTGTTGTGTCTTCCTCTGGTAAGCCAATAATTCTAATGCTGTTCCACGTGATAGCATCAGACATAGCTTTAGGTTTTCTTCAGCTTCCCTGATGATCTTATTAGTTTTTTGTTCGTGTTTGTTAAGGTCTGCTTGGCTGTCCTCCAAGTCACTTATGAGGTTCTCTGCTTCCTCCAGTCGATTCTCGAGGTCCGTGTTTCTGCTACTGGTTTTTGTTCTCTCCTCCCTAAGCTTCTGTATTTCCCTTTGGTGAATGGCCTTTATCTCCTCTATAATTTCATCATTTTTCTGTATTGTTTCCCTCATATCCTGTATGATTCCAAGTAGCTTTCTGAAAATTTCTTTCTGTGGCAGCTCATCTTCTGCCATTGCCTTTTGTTTCTCTTGTTTTTCTGTTGAGGTCGTTGGGGGGGTGCTGTTTGCATTGCATTGTTTTAGAGGAGCCAGGTGCCATTTTCCAGGGAGTCCAAGAGCACAGCCTCTCCGGGGGAGACTTGTAGGAATGCTTCTTCTAACTGCCTACAGCTAATTTTACTATGGGATTAACCTACCACTTTATCTTCCTGTGGCTTCCCTCTCAGAGGAGTGCCCCAGAAGGCTGCTGGGTTGACTGCTTTGGTGTTGCGGAGGTTGGGCAGAGGTTCCTGCAACAGCTTGGAATGTTGATGAGTGTTGGCTGAGCTGCCTTATGCCCCCAGGTACATAGGCAGGAATTCTCCCATGAGAAGTTTGGCAGAGTATCCCCTGGAGGGAAAGCAGGGTTTTACCCATCCTCCAGCTAGCTACACAGGGTGGAGCTCACCTAGCTGAGTGTAGTGCAGGCATAAGTGCCCTAGGCTAAGGGGAGTGGTCTGGAGGTCAGCAGTGGAGTGTGAGAGAACAGGAAAGAGACAAAGAGGAGAAAAAAAATTTTAAAGTAAGACTGCTTAGCCAGTGGAGTGATATAGAGAAGAGAGCGAAACAAAAGCAACA